GAAGAAATTTATATCGCGCTGGCTGGGAAATTGTAAAACAATGTTATTTTCTGCGAGGGCAAAAACTTGCATTTAAAGCTAAATGTGTCCAGTGGACAGCATCAACTGTACTGCTGGTTCTTCAGCAACAAGTAGTAATAATAGTGAATGCAAGCTTAAGCATTTTCATTCTCATGTGCTGACACACAAGATGTTTCCCTTGGGGATTTTCTCTGAACACAATTAAATTGAGGTATTAAATCAGTTCTAACAAAATTGTTCTGAAAAATCTAATTAGAGAAAACCTTGTACAGGAGAGAAAAAGAATCCAGAATCTTGGTTTGGATGTGATTTATTCCTGCCTTTGAATGTGCTAAACGGGGCATCCCAAATGTTGTGTTAGATGCCATTTTGAAAAAGGTTTACCTTTCTTACCTCTAAGTACAATTTATCCTTGCCCCTTGAGCAAGCTCTTTGCTAGTCTTGGTGCTTTTCAGCACTGAAGTAAACAGAAATCTATCAAGGACTCCTAATCCTTCAAGAGTAAGTAGCTGGTGGATATGTAGGTGACCCCAGAACACATGCCCTTAACGTGAAGTTTCACTGGAGAGATGGGGAGGGGGGATTAGTGAAGGAAAGTATTTTAAGACAGTGCGAGTTTACCCTTCATGGTACACACATTTTATTGCTATTCTAGGTTTTAGTATAAAAGCCTGTGGTCTTTGTATGTGGTACTTCAGGGCAAATTTAGAACAGGAAGCAGCATTTTCTAAGTGGTGGTGGTGAGCCAACAATTGAGACAGTTTCTCCAAGTGATTTATGGCACTCCTAGATGGGGAAATGCTTCACCAAGAAAATAAATATGGCAGGAGAATTATGTCGTTGGCACTATCATTGACTAAAACTAATTGATGATGCAGTGCCTTCATTATGATGAAAGGGCTGGATAAGGATACACTTCATCAGAAAAAAAAAGTGAGCAATTTGAGACTTTGCTTTATTTTTGTGTTTATACGTTAGAAACTGATGGATTCTAAAAAGTACAGAAGCGTCATTTATATACACATTTTGAGAATACAGCCCTTGTGAATTGATTATTGTACACTAAGAAACCTTTTATTTGGTTTCCTATTAATAAATAAAGGTATCAGGAAATTGGTTTTCTAGGAAATTCTTTGGTGTTTTGGTGTCTTATTATTTCTCATTAATTGTAATTTTAATCCTTGTTTACTTCTTTTCTGAGTGCAGAACTGCAGCTGGTCTTCAAAGGTACGTGTCAGTTTGTCCAGCAGAAACACAAGTGACTTTCACATGTTTAGAAGATTTTTTTTTTAGTAGCTCTTAGTCAATGTGCAAAACTTATCCTTCATGAAAAAGTCACCAAGTTGAACAGTAGTACCCTGTATCTTGTGAACAGTTGTAAATCCTTGTTTTGGGGGAAAATACTGTAATGGTTCAGTTGAACTGGGCAAAAGAAGGGAAATCAGTTAACACAGCAGGCAGCAGCATTGATTTGTGCTTCTCTGGACCAAAGCTGGGAACTAGATTGTTGACCTGTAAATATGCCTGGGCTGTATTTTGACACAAACTTTGAAAAGTACTGACAGCTTGTTATGAAACCATTGAAAGTCACACAAGTGAAATAGAACGGCTACCTTGGTTATCTTGAGCAGGGCACAGAAATGGCAATCAGAAGATGATGTGGAAGGACATGGATGTATGTTGGGTGCTTTTACTGCTGCTAAACAATACTCCTTATTTTCTTCAAGCAAAACAGCACTCCACAATATGACCACAGGAAATACTAATAAAATCTGATTATTCGTGGCATAGAGAGTTGGGGTTTTTATCATCTGTAGTGGTTGTTGGCATAGTTTAAAAAAAACCCTATCAGTTGTTTGTTGTCAGCTGGGCAGATTTGTTTTGTTTAGTAATATTCCATCTTTCATAATCTGTGGTCTTGCTAGTCCCCCAAACGTCCATGCTTTTATTAAATAGCCGTAGAACTTCTGTCATCTTTCATTTCAGCAATTACTTCGAGTTCTGACAGTGAATACATAACTGGCTTCTGTGGTGAAAATGTGGTTCTGAAATTATAGATGTTACTTTAAAAGAACTAGTGTGTTTTCTATGGGCCAACATTATTAACTTCATGAACTAATATCCCCTGGTCTTCCCAGGACATTTCAAAATGTGAAGTATTCGTTTTATTCACAAGTTAAGGAGAAGTGTCATCTTAATTGTGAATGTACTTACTCCCCTACAGGAGTCCTTCCAAGATTTTTGAGTTTTTTCTTTGCAGTCCCCAAATTAGGTGTTTTCTTTTTTTTTAATGTTATACATTTAATAATTCTAGCTCAAGAATATATAGTAATTCTAGTGTCTTCATAAAAATAGTTACAGTTTGCACATTCCCAAGTGTGATCCTCTTGAGCTGAAATTTTTCATAGTTATTTGCAATGTAATTACTTTTTGATGTTGCAATATAAAAATAATTAGAATTTCTTTTTACTAGAGTGTTAAGAGGAGATGGTACTTTTTCCTTGTGTAACATCTTCCAGGTGGTTTTCTACAAAGACCAATACTAGTAGAAATCTTGGAATTTTCCACTTAGTTCTTGCTTTTTTCAAAGGCCAGGACAGATATCTAAAGAAAGACAATTTTTGTCATAACTGAATGATTGTGTCAACTTCTAACAACATGCAGAGAAGTGTTTTCAAGTGCTATTTTTTGGAACAGCATGTCCTATGTACTTCCTAAATGAAATCTTTAGTTACAAAGTTTTCAACTTTGACATCCATAGTATTTATCTCCTGTTAGCCTTCTTGTGTTTTTCTGTTGTCTTCTCCTTGTTCTCCAAGGAACCAAGGGAAGGAATGGACTTCTCTGTGCCACTCCTGTTCAGTTTAGTGAAAGATGGCAAACCTAGAAGGCACTGCCTAACATAATATCCCATGAAATTAAAATTACCCCGTGGAGGAGCACACATATTTTGTTCAAACTTTTTGATATAAAACTTTAATATTTGCATTTTCCAGTTTTTGTGCATGTGTGTGCTTAAACTCATAATGCTAACCTTGTATTTTGGTAAGATTATTTTTCATTTTCTAATCATTTTGTTCTTCCTTTTTTCCCTCCAGTATTAAAATCTAATTTTTGTGTGTGAAGGTGGTGTGTAAAGTATGATTAAGTTAAATGGATTTATCCCTTTTAATAATGTAAGACTTAGTTTCAGGCAAGCCAAGCCATCAGCACCATTTTAAAAAAATACTGTGAACGTTGGTACTTTTTTTTTTTTTTTAAGTTCCTATGTACTGTAACATAACCTACTCCAAGTAATTATCATATATTATACTGGTTGCCATTAGTGACTGCTATAATTAAGGTTGCAAATCAGTTTCCATTATAATCCCTTGTTTTCACACAATCATAAGTTGTCAAAACACCAACCTTTGGGACTAAAGTTTTCCACAGTTGTTTTGCTTAGAGGTAAATTTGGGGGGAGGGAGGAGGAAAAGGAGTTTGAACTGCCCTTATAGCAAACCCTTGTCCAGTCATTTTGCATTATAGGATCAAGCTGCACAGCAAGGAGCTAAATAGTTATCATTTCCATGGACTAGATGAAAGGTTAAAGGCCAAGGAGTGCAGAACCGCCTTGAGTTTTGGTTGCACTTCTAATTTTGACTAGCCCCACTGCTGGTTTCTTTAGCAGCATCTTTACATAGTGGTACGAACAGTATTAGTCTCACTTCATTAGCATCTATGTCCTACAAAAAAACTGCAGTATGTCAGTTTACTGATAATCGGGCAACAGTTGGATTACAAAAGTGGAAAAGAGTTACAGTGGTCAATTGTGGATTCACAGTTTCAGTTGTGAATCTCAATCCTGAATTTGATGCTGATTTTTGAGTGTAAAAGCTTCCCTAAAAATGAAGTGGGGAAGCAATATAAGAAAATGTTTACTGTGATTATTTCCCCAGTAGTAGCTCCTTAATGTCAGTAACTACTGCACTGCTCTTTTCTAAGTAGAAAATAGCAGGTTCTTGTTTTGTTGCAGATAACCCTCTATATAAACTTTTATAGTGACCACTATGCAAAGCTTAAGTTTGCATTTATAGTATTTTTGGTATGACTTTACAATTTATTTTATCATATAAAGAGATTACATTTTAAGGCGAGTTATAAGGGAGTGCATGGGCAGGCAGAGTTGAAGGATAAGCTTTCAACCCTAACATTCATTTCCTGTACTTGTTTTATCATCCCTAACATTACATTAACACCGTTTCTTTGCATAGAATTCATTTTAAGAAATGGTGATTGGTTCTTCCCCTCAGCCCTCCAGGAGAGTATTTTAATTAGTTTTTTGAGATATATGATAATAAACTGAAGTTTCTGAGCAAATGTTACTACTTCTGTTACATTCAGAATTTGCTCTTCCACGACTCTATCTGCAAACTGTTGCAACTGTAAACATCTTTATAAAATGCTGTGAAATATTACAAAGTTAACGATTTGCAGATAAAAACAAAGCATAAAAAAAGTGCATAAGCCTTTGAAAAGATCAGATTTTTGGAGACCTTATTGTCTGCAGAGGGTCCTGTGAGTCAGTGAGATGTCTTGCAGATGGGAAGGTTTCCACATCTGGATTCTTTTTACAATTGAGGTCTTTGATCTGAAAATGTTACAACTCTCCTATGCCCTGTGATTTGTCTGGCAAGATGAGTTATTTACAAATGCAATTGCTCTTCTGACAACTCAGTTTTGAGTGTGTAAGTGCTGAGGTCCTGATCTGTAACCCACAAGGACTGCTGGTAGTCCTTTTATTGGTTTCGGAGGGCTTTGATTCAGATATTTGGACTTTGAAGCACCCCAAGTGGATTAGGTAAAGAAAGGCACCTTTTTCCAGATTATTGTAATTTAAAGATTTAGGATGCTGTGTCTGAAATAATTTGACAGTGTTTCAAAGGCTTGTGAATTTAAATAAGTTTCTGATCTTTGTGTCTTTTCTTTTATTTCTCCAGTGGCAGATGAAAGCAAAGTTGGTTTGTTGGCCGGACACAAATCGGGTAAGCTGTCCTCCTGTTCTGGAGAAAAAGTCAGCAACTTGAAAGTAGTATGGGCAGTAAACAAAATCAGCTTACAGAAACTGTGGTGACTAAGAGAGTTGCAAATGAAGGCATTACTTTGTATGCACTGACTCCAAGTTGAATGATGATGAATTATGGGTTGCTCTTAACCTGGCAGTGTATGTAGCCAAGTCATTTGCAGGAAGAGATGTAACTTTATTTTTCAGTGCAGGTGTTGTAAACTGGAAAATATGCCCTTTCAGATAAGGGCAAGTGCAACATATCTTGTGGAGCGTAGAGACTTAAACAATACACATTTTGAAAAATACAAGTATTTCTTTGCTTCTTCCTCTTATGCTGAGTTATACTTCCGTTAGCAGGAATATTGAAGACAACACAAAAAAAATCCACAGAGTAAAAAAAAGAGTGTTGAAGCTTTTCCTTTCATTGTGCTTGTGAAGTAGAAATAATTTGTTTTTTCTTAAACTTTCAGACCATAGTAATAAAAAAAATTAGTCTTTACTTCTATCATTACTGTACCTACTTACTACGTCAGTTCTGTCAACCACACCGTGCTCTTGCACAACTTTCAGTTGTTGTATTAAAAAACTTTCAGGGCAATGTCATGTAAGATTATAATTTTTCATAAGCTGACGTGAGAAACCTTGAACTTCCTTGAAAACCTTAGTTATTCAGCATTCTCTTCTGATGTTAGATAACCCTGAAGTTTCAGGCTGCCCTTTTGTAGCACGATTGTATGTTGCCTTTTTCCACTCCTTTGATAGATCTAAAAAGCAGAATTCATGTAAAGGAAGGTCGACTATGAGATTTTCAATTGTTTATGGTATTCCTTCTCTCTGCAACTGGATGTCCTTCTTTAGTTCTCTGGTGTGGATTTTCCTTATCTGAAGACCTTTTCCTGAACTTAGTAGACAAATTCTTTTTAAATTTTTTTGGCATCTTTCCTAAGTCTGTGAACTTCTTGGATTCTCTTTCTGAATCGGGGAATAGTTCATGTGTCTTGTAACATTATCACTCCTGGGAAGAAAAAAATTCTTTCAACTTTCTGTTTTGGGAATGTGAAAACTTCAAAGAAATGGTCTTGTCAACTTGAAGAAACTAAGGGTGTTGCCCTTGGGTTTTTCCCTGCTCAGAAAAATTGCTACAAACATTGCAACATCATGCAGTTTACCAAAGATCAATGGAATTCACTGCTATCAAAGAACCTGGTAAGAATATTACTCTTTGGCAATCAATTGTTAAAGGTACATTTAACTTTATAATATCATTTTTAGTAGTGTTAGATCTTACTTCTGCACACTT